CCATTGGCACAGACCAAATATATTCATCAGGAGATGCAAGGCTAGTTTAGAACCAGGGACTTGGCACGTCAGAACTGCAAAGGCCAGCGAAGCGATCTGTGGTCAGACCTCAGAACTTGGCAAAGGATGAAACTTGGACGTGAACATCAACTTCTTTGAACGTTCAGGCTCTTTCAGGCCTCTGGATTGGCTGAGACTCAGCTCCTCAGATAAGCAGGCAGCTGAAGACCTTCACTTCGGATTGGCTGAGACTCAGTTCCTTTGACTGGCAGGCAGCTGGAGGCCTCTGGATTGGCCGAGGCTGCTATAAATTCCTGGGCACCTTGATTGCTCAGAAGAGCCAAGGGTTTTGCTTGTGCTACTTCCTAAGCTCCCAGTTCTTCTTTACCCCTCCAGTGGGCGTAAGTCACACCAGGTCTGGATCCAGGAAAGGCCACCCTCAGCCCTGGCTGCACCCTAGAAGTCAACCTTGCTGTTGAGTTCAGGTCCTGCTTGCAGGACATCACTGTGTAAACGGGATTTTCCAGGGACAGTCCTGGAGTTATAGAAGTCATCCCGGTTTCTGGAACATCCCGCTTTTCCTTAGGACGTCCCTATTTTGATTGAAGAAATGTTGGAGGGTATGGATTTTGGTCTAGATGGGCCTTTATCCATCTGTGGGAGGGAATCCACGATGTCTTTTGGCAGATCACCACAGAGAAACCTTGTTCTCCTTACAGCAAGGTTTCAGCATGATTTTAATTTTGCCATTTTGAGCAGCTTCCATGAAACAGGACATTTCTTAGAGGAGGGTTCACTTTATGGCTTTGTGGGCCCTAGCAATGGGTTAGCAATATGTGACTCTGATAATCCTTTTAGCTAAAGGGCAGAAATAAATCAACTGGGCTAGGAAATGGTTTCTCAAAAAAGCTAAACATGTTTAAAAAGGCACTGACTTGCCTCACATGTTCCCACAGCTTCTACCAACCCAGCAGTTTGAAAGCACACCAGGGCAAGTAGATAAATAGGTAGCATTCTGCAGCAGAAAAGTAAACGTGTTTCCATGCGCTCTGGTTTCTGTCACAGTGTTTTGTTGTGCCAGAAGTGGTTTAGTCCTGCTGGCCACATGACCCAGAAAGCTGTCTGCAGACAAACACTGGCTCCCTCAGCCTGAAAGCGAGATGAGCGCCACAACCCCATAGTCGCCTTTGGATGGACTTGAAATCCTGGAAACTATAGTTTACTCCCTGCAGAGCTACAGTTACAATTACCAGAACCTTTTAAAATAAATAAATAAAAAGTACAAACTAACAAGTGCACATAGTAAGATAAGAAGAAGAAACAATAAATAGAAAACAAAACAGAATAACAACAATATATATTATGTACATGGCAAAAACAAAAAGACAAACTGGATATTCCCAGCACCCTTAACAAACTGCAGTTCCCAGGATTCTCTGTGGGGCATTGCTTTAAGTGCTTTTAAATGGGCTTCAGGTGTCTGCAGCCTGGGTAGTTGAAAGCAGAGCGGACCCAGATGGCCCCGATGCCTCTTAGTCTCAAACCCGCATCTAGACACACTTGGTGTGAGGGCTGCGCGGCGACGGGGATTCAGGTGGGATGGTTGTCGGCAGTGACTCAGCAAGCCTGAGCAGCCACCTCCAGCACCGCCACGGGTGAAGTCATGCTCTGTGTTGGGATTGGAAGCAGATGTGGGCCGTGAATCTCTGCAGCTGTGCAGGAGACGATGGGATCCAGATGTGAGGCCCAGGACGGACAGGGGATGGAGATGGCCGGAGAAGGAGACAGACGAACTGAGGGCTGAATGCCGGGGACGCTCTCTCTCTCTCTTTCTCTCTTTCTCTCTCTCCCCCTCTCTCCCTCTCACCCCTTGACTCCTAGAGTGATGCTTTGCAAGAAAGACCATGCTGTCCAAAGAAAGCAGACAAACGAGAGAACTCCCCCTCCCCCGGCCCTCTTAAGGAGATGTTGGAGGAATGATTTGAGAAGAACTGAAGGAGGTCCCAGGTCCAGGGAGAACCAGGAATGTCTCCTGACTGAAACAGAGGATGGTGAAAACAGCAGTTGGTGTTAAACTAAGGTTTACTTCAGAGTAGACCCATTTGAATTAATGGCCCTAACTTTTTTTGTTAATTTTTAAAAAAAATTTCAAAGATCTTTATTGAAACTTAACATATATACATAATAACCAAAATTCCCAATGATTCCCTCACATAAAATATAATATCTAAATTACAACAGTTGCATAATGATACACTTAATTATAAAACCCATCACCCACCCTCTACTTCCCTCCACAGCAATTCGACTTCTGTATATTTCTTTCTACCTTTTCCCCCTTGCATTCTATAATAAATTATTTTTGTTAAATTCTGATCTTTCTTTCTTTCTTTCTTTCTTTCTTTCTTTCTTTCTTTCTTTTATTATTGCCTACATTTTTTATTCTAAGCCTATTAACATGTCATTTTTAGAACAATATTTTGACATATAATCTTCTAAATACTTCCACTCCATTCTTAACTTTTGATTTGATTGATATAACTTTGTTGTGTTCTTTAGGTTCAAGGGGTCTACAATGAGTAAAATGTAGTCGAACGCCATCAAATATGACATCCAAAGATGCAAATATGCATAGGCGCCTGAAGATGTATGAATGGAGAAACTGGAGGTTGTCCAAAAGTAGGTGATCAAGAGGATGAAAACCAAGTTTTATGAGAAATGGTTGAAAGAGCTGGGTATGCTATGTTGTCTCCAATGCTAGTCTTACTCAGAGTAGACCCATTGAAGTTAATAGATATGAGTAACTTAGGCACATCCATTTTAATGAGTCTACTTTTGAGTAAGGGCCTAATCGAATACAACCCCTTTAGCTTGCACTTTTTATTATTTTTCTCTCTATAAAGAATATTTTTTTTAAAAAAAAATTAAGAATCTCACCATTTGGCCCCCACTGGAGGATTTGTAGTGCTGCATCAGAACCCTGGATTTGCATGAATTCAGCAGTGGCCGGGCATGGGAGTGAGAAGGGAGGGACTCTGAGGTGGATAGTGGTGGCTTAAAACAATGGCAGAAGTCAGAGCAATGGAGGAAACTGAGAGGAAAACTGCAGGAAAACGATAATGGCAGAGGTTTGCCTAAAGTCTTATGGAATACCTGAGGAAGAGGACAAAACTAGAATTAGTTGGTTCTGCCTCTCATTGGCTATGGTGCCACCTACTGTCAGTCTCTTTGCCTTCTGATCTACCAGTCCCAATGTTGTTGCTTAGTCGTTTAGTCGTGTCCGACTCTTTGTGACCCCATGGAGCAGAGCATGCCAGACACTCCTGTCTCCCACTGCCTCCTGCAATTTGGTCAAACTCATGCTGGTAGCTTCGAGAACACTGTCCAACCATCTTGACCTCTGTCGTCCCCTTCTCCTTGTGCCCTCCATCTTTCCCAACATCAGGGTCTTTTCTAGGGAGTCTTCTCTTCTCATGAGGTGGCCAAAGTATTGGAGCCTCAGCTTCAGGATCTGTCCTTCCAGTGAGCACTCAGGGATGATTTCATTCAGAATGGAGAGGTTTGATCTTGCAGTTCATGGGACTCTCAAGAGTCTCCTCCAGCACCATAATTCAAAAGCATCAATTCTTTGGTGATCAGCCTTCTTTATGGTCCAGCTCTCACTTCCATACATCACGACTGGGAAAACCAGTCGTCGGCAAGGTGATGTCTCTGCTTTTTAAGATGCTGTCTAGGTTTGTCATTGCTTTTCTCCCAACCAATCCCAAGGTGGGACTTTAAGGTGCCAGAAAACTCTTAAGAGTTCCCTCTCTGTGGAAGGGCATCTATATACACACAAACAAGACAGAGACACTTCAGAGACAGTTTGGTCAACTTTATATTTTCCCCCGATATACATATTGCCAGTGTCTTCTTTTGGTTTTTCTGTTGTTGTTTTTTAAAATTGAGTGCTGGTGCCAGCATGTTCGCACTCCTGTCTCAGCGACATCTACGCTGGCTTGACCATGTCCACAGAATGGAAGATGGCAGGATCCCCAAGGAGAGCTGCCTTCAGAGGACTTAAGTCTGGGAGGAGGAACACAGCTGTTTTTATATTATGGGTGAGACTCCTCAGAGGGACTTAAGAGCGACAGATCTGCGAGATCAATGATGGAAAGAGCGATATTATTTATGAAAGCGATGATATATGGAAACCATCTTGATATGAGGATTGGATGAACGGAAAAATTCGCACAGGATTATAATTGGTGTTTATCTGCTTAAGGAGATTACCAGAAGAGATCATAAAGAAAAAAAGAAAAAATATATACGAACAAGATGAGATGTGGAAATAGCAAGATAAGACTGGATAGAATTATGAACATTATTTGGACTGATTTGGATATTAACGCAGTAGCAAGAAGATGATCGGAATCCCCCTTCGGACCTTGAAATATGGGTCCCCTCAACAAAAATTTAAAATTCGGCTTTGTAATTCGGAATTTATGTGATGTGATTTGATTTGATTTGATTGGTCGGCTAATAAAAATTATTATTTTTTTTTTTAAAAAGGAGAGCTGGCTTCAGGCCCCCAGCCAGTTGGCAGATCAACTCTACATTACAAAGAGGTCTGCAAATGCTACATGAATGCTGGCAAAGCCAACCCTGTCATGTGGGAATCCATTACAGACAACTGAAGCACCTGTAGACAGACAGTCAAGTTGCGTGTCCATAGCAGGGACCAGAGGTGAAATGACCTCACAGGAGCACAGAGAGAAGAATGACGCAGCACAACCAGAGGCCTTCCTCTACCCCAGCAGCAACAAAACATGTCTCCCGTATCGGTCTCTACAGCCACAGCAGGAGTTGTAGCCTTCCAACTGTTGGGCTTCACCCCAAAAGGTGAACTCCTCCATTGTCTCCCAAGACAGATGGATACCAACAAATTGGTACTCATATTTTGATCATAGAATTGTCGAGGATCATCTAGTTCAATCCCTTTCAATGCAGGAATATGGAGCTGTCCCACATGGGGCTTGAACCTGCAACCTTGGTGTTATCAGCACCATGCTCTGACCAGCTGAGCTACCCAGGACAAAAGTGATGTGGATGCCAGCACAAAATGGTGGCCATCGGTAGCGAAAAAGAGGTGTTGGTACTCCGTAGCAGTGAGTATCGTCACACACACGAAAACACCGTGCCTATCTTGCTTTTATTAGTACGTAAAAGTATTTGAAGCAGATAACATAACACAAAATCAAGAAGTAGATAATATAACATAAAACCAATAAGCTGCATCCTGCATTGCTGAGCCGGCACTGAGCAAAGTCCCTTCCAACTCTACGATTCCAGCTCTATGATTCCAACTCACAATAACAACATTTGAATAAGGCATTCTCCCCAAGGCCAAAATGGAGACAAAAGAGGGACCGTGACTTGCCTCTGATGGATAAAGATAATTAGATACAGTGGTACCTCGGGTTACAGATGCTTCAGGTTACAGATGCTTCAGGTTACAGACTCCTCCAACCCAGAAATAGTACCTCGGGTTAAGAACTTTGCTTCAGGATGAGGACAGAAATCGCATTGCGGCAGCGGGAGGCCCCATTAGCTAAAGTGGTACCTCAGGTTAAGAATACTTTCAGGATAAGAACGGACCTCCAGAACGAATTAAGTTCTTAACCAGAGGTACCACTGTACTTATGTTAGATGTAGGGGAAAGGACTTGAGGGAGGAGGTGGAAGTGGTAAATTTGGGGAGGGGTAGCAAGAAGCCGGAATTCCTCTTAGAGAGAAACAATGGAAGGGAAGTCACAGTTCTCCGAATTTTGCAGTATGTGCGAGGGGATTGTTTAGTGATGAATAACAGCAAGTGAGTTCATTAAATAATTTCATTCCACATCCTACAAGGCTTCCTGTCCAGGCCGGTTCGCTTAGAAGATGCAGCTGGTCTCCATGAGGTGATATTAAGTGGATTGATTAATCCTTTGAATGGGCAAAGTGTAAACGGGAGTGAGGCCGGGAGGGCGAAGAGGACTGTGGGAGTTTGTCTTGTTTATTCCCCGATGTGATTGGCGTCAGTCCTCCACCCAGGCACTCCAGCCTCCCCGCTCCAGTCAGCACTCTCTTGAATTTATGGCTTTTTAAATGAAAACAAAGAATTCTGTGCTGGAAAGGAGCGTGTAAATAAAGTGGGGAGTTGGGGGGAAGAAGTAGAAATCTCCCAGGATCTGAAAGGGGGGGTGGGCAAAGTTTGCAATGACCTCAGCTTCATCACATCAGACTGAATGGCTCAGCACCTGCGTCTTCCTTTGTATTGTTTTCCAGAACACACACACAAAACAGGGTGTCTTTGCAAGCCCCCACTCCTATTGCAGTCCTTTGGGGGGTCATCTGGGGGCACAGGAGGAAAACAACCATCATTTCCTTTGTGGGTGTCAAAAACCAAGATTTATTATTTTTAAAAAATGTTCACAGAAAAATGAGGCATATCATCTCTGATAGCTCAGTCGGTAAAGCATGAGACTATTAATCTGAGGGTCATAGGTTCAGGCCTCACATTGGACAAAAGACTCCTCCTACATTATAGGGGGTTGGACTAGATGACTCTTGTGGCCCCTTCCATTTCTACAACTCTATGATTTACAGGTGGGATTTGATCACATGCCAGCAAATCCAAGTTGCTCAGTTAAGAATGTAAGAAGAGCCTGCTGGATGAGGCCAGTGGCTCATTTAGTCCAGCATCTCACGGTGGCCAACAAGATGGCTGTGGGAAGCCCACAAGCAAGATTTGAGCACAAGAGGCCTCTCGCCTGTTGAGGTTTTCAGCATCTCTGTCTCTGATTGTGGAGGCAGATCATAGCTGTCATGGTTAGTAGCCATTGACAAACTTCTCCCTGAATTTGTCCTAACCTCTTTGAAAGCCATCCAAGTTGGTGGCCTTCACTGCCTCCTGTCAGTTTGGACTGTGTACTTTCCCTTATTTTTCTGGAATCTTCCAACATTCAGTTTCATTCAGTTAAAGTTGATTTGACACTCTTGTGGAACAACCCTACCCACAAAACCCAATTCAGACTCTTTTGTGATAAGGAAAGTGATGATAAAGTGCCCTGGAAAGTCTAGGATAACACTTGCTTGATGCAATGTCACCTAACTGACCCACAAACTTTGTGTAAACAAATTGGGTTGAATGTTCAATAAACAGGCCCTCTCAAAGCAACCTGAAGGCTCATGTGTGCTTGCTAAGCAAGTGCCAGTGGTCTGGTCAGGGCCGGCCTACCCATGAGGCAAGGTGATCCTCAGGCAGCAGGGCCCACCAAGGCAGCACATTCTGTTGTCAATCTATCTTCTCAGCTTGTTCCTGTTGTAGATCTTCACTGACCCCCGCCTTTTGCTGGTGGGGAAGGGGGTGCCATTTTGGGGTCCACATCAGGTGCCGGCTGTGGGTTTGGCTATGAAGTGTAGGTGGGGTTAACATTTAAACTAAACACAAAGCATGCTGGGGGTAACACTGAAGTCACTCCTCCCTCATCTCATCTCACTGCACTCTGATCCTTTAAAGTGTTTTGCCCAGCCTGGCTGGCTTCCAGTATCAGAGCTAGGCTGGGTACAGGGCCGGCCCTGCCACTTGGCAGATTCAGAGCAGGGAACATGTGGCCCTCCAGATGCTGTTGGACTCCAAACTCCCATAATCCTTCAGCACTGGTCCTGCTAGCTAGGGATGATGGGAGTTGTAGTCCAACAATATCTGGGGACCCAAGGTTGAGAAAGGCTGATATAGAGCAAGGCTGAGGATGGCATTGTGCAAAGGTGGCAATGAGGAATTTATTCCCGATGCACACAGCACCTGGAGAAGAAAGATTTCAGGGAATCAGGGAAGGTAAAGCTGGCCGCAGCCTTGATAATTGTCAGCTCTCAGCTGCTGTGATTAGCATTTTTAGAAAACGAAACTGCAAAGTTGCAGTTGAAATCACACACTGTCTGAAACCTTGGCAAGTTGTTGCCGTCAGTCAGTGTTGACAGCACATAGATGGCCCATTGATCAGACACAGTATAAGGTAACTTGCTACACCTTATGTTGAACAAACTATGTTCCTCATTCTCCCACTGCCTTTGTCAAAATTGGATTTCCTGTGGCTGCTTTTTTTGGGAGTAAAAGTCAGGAATTCTGATCACAGATCTCCAGTAAGGCATCAGTTTTTGTTATTATTAATGACATTGATATCCTGCCTTTCCTTCAAGCAATCAAAGGCAGCATATGTGGTTTTCCTTCCTCACTTTCTTTTTATCCTCACCACAACCCTGTGAGGTAGGTTAGCTTGAGAGAAAGGCTGGCTCAGCCAAGTGGGTATTTGAACCCAGATCTACCCAGTGCTGGTACTGAGACTCTGACCACTGCAACACATTGACTTTTTAGGCTTAAAAACTTTAAATACGGAGAAGTAGATTGTAGCATCAGCCTGGGATTTTGAAATGGCCTGGTGCTATTTAACTTGGTCACAAAGTATTTGGACTCCAGGATGAGCAAAAAGGTAGCCAGATTTTAAGAACAACACGCAAGTAAGTATTCTGGATCCTGAAATCCCCAAAGCAGACTGCAAAGAAAAGCTCCCTCAGAGATCTCTCCAAATTGGACTAACCACCAGCAGAATAACAGAAGAGGTTCAGTTGTAAACAAGTGAGGAGGGATTCCCATTGGGACAAAAGCATAAAAAATAATAAAAAAAGAACATCTCAACCTCACAGGTGTTAATCCAAACTGGCTGCAATCTTGGGGTGTGTGTCTGTGAATGTCACAGTGGAAAATTCAGCTCAGCGTGCTGTGATCTGTGGAAAAAGGGCAATTCTTAGCGAAAGGGACTTAAACAAATCGCACAGCAGACCTCATCAGGCTGTTGTTACGTAAAGCTATCATGTGGCCACACTGAGAACAGTCTGTGCAGTTCTGGTCTCCCCAGGTCCAAAATGATATCATTACGTTGGAGCAGCTACAGCAACGTGATCGAGGCGATGGGAGTACCTTTATTGGTGCAGTTAGGTAATTTTAGACCGATTCCCCTCTCGATGGCCCTGTGCAGTATTACTTCACTCTGTTCACATTTTGGTAAGCCAGCCCCACTGCATTTGGGGATGCCCTCTCACCCATTTTGCCAAGTGGCAAAATCTGCCCCAGTCTTTATCCCGACGCTGACCGTCTTCTGGATGAGCAAGGAAGCTGCAACTTTTTTAGCTCAGCAAAAAAGAGGGATGGGGGGGGGGGAGAGAGATGACTAATGAGATAATGAACATGAACAATGTTTACTGAATTAGGAACAGTGTGGAGAGAGTGAAGAGAGAGAGCTTTTTAAAAAACTCCCTCCTTCTCTAGTAAGACCAGAACATGGTGCCGCCGGCCAGCGAAAATTCTTTGGCAACAGATTGTTTAGGATGGACAAGAGGAAATTCTTTTTCATGCGATGCGTAATTAACGGGTGGAATTAACTCTGACAAGATGTGGTGACGTTACTAGCTCGGATGGCTCTTGAAAAAAAGAAATGAGATGCATTAGTCAAGTTTGTTGAGGGTTATCAGGTGCTTTCATCAATCTCCCTGATAAAGGGCAAAGGGCCTCTGGCAAGATGTAAATGTCCTACAAAAAAAAAAATCTTTAAAAAAAGTTAATAGAAGCCACTGGGAAGGTGGGAGGATGAGGGAGACCAATCAGCTCGGGACTGCTGTGCTGAAGGTGGGATTTAACCCATCTTTTTCTTTAATAATAATAATAATAATAATAATAATAATAATAATAATAATTTATTTATACCCCGCCCATCTGGCTGGGTTTCCCCAGCCACTCTGGGCGGCTTCCAACAGAACACTAAAATACAATAACCTACTGAACATTAAAAGCTTCCCTAAACAGGGCTGCCTTCAGATGTCTTCTAAAAGTTTGGTAGTTATTTTTCTCTTTGACATCTGGCGGGAGGGCGTTCCACAGGGTGGGTGCCACTACCGAGAAGGCCCTCTGCCTGGTTCCCTGTAACTTGGCTTCTCATATTGAGGGAACCGCCAAAAGGCCCTCTGCACTGGACCTCAGTGTCCAGGCAGAACACAATTATATATTGTGCCAATTGGATTATCCATCTGTTCTCTTCGTGTTTTGATTTCTCCTGAGATTGCCCAGTTAGGTGTTACTGTCCCCAAGATGGAGGACCCAGTTTTTATCTCTGTTTCAATGCCATCGGACACCATTTTGAATCAAGATGGCCGACCGAAATGTTCCAAAGTGCATTGATTTGGATGCCTCTGAAGATATCGTTGGGTGTGTCAGTTCCCAGGAGCGAGGTTCATGTTTCGGACTATGTTTGGATGACGTCGGATGCCATTTTGAATCAAGATGATAGACCGAAACATTCCAAACTGCAGTTATTTTGATGCCTCTGAATAAATAGTTACCCAATTTGAAGGCACTGAGCACACAGGAAAAGGGGCAGAAGCTGACTTGTACAATAAGAAGTCCAATTTAGGGAGCATAGCTCATCAAAGCCAGATGCCAAGAATGTCATAGCCAGGGAGAGACAAAAGCAGACATATTATGCCAACTTCATAATAAATATTATTATATAGTTGGCATAATATACCAAACCTTCCAGGCCCGGAATGTCAGTATTGCTTTGCTTTAGTCAAGATATGATATTAAAAGGCAGCCATGTTTCTAAACAGGATCTTATGTAACTGGGATTCATGACATTGTTCATAACTGTCAAATGCTGCAACCTTTTATTATACATCTATGAAAACTGTTAGGTTGTGGGTGAACATATCAGACGACACAGCAATTCTTCAAACAGCTCTTGTTTATTCACAGGCCAGAACAGAACAGAACTGAACTGAACTGAAGGGTTCAGCCAGCCTGCTTATATAGAGCTCCACTACAATGCAACTGTAACAACTTTCTGTAAATATCCAATCACTGAATGTCACTTTCAATCCATTATTTGCATATGTGGACCTGAGTGAAAACTATCTACAGTATCCCCCTGCTGGCCCAGGGTGAGAACTTCAGTACATAACAAAAACCAATCCAAATATTCTGGAAGTTTCTCCTTATGTTATCAAGCCATGCTACTAGAAATGCAGATTTAATGCTTGCCCTGAAGTGTACAGTTTGCAAGTCAACAGTTCTCACATGCAACCCAGACACGCTTTGGGGAATCTTTCAGTGCTGAAACCTGGGTGTGCCCTGCAAACAACACTTTATGGATGTTGGCTGAAGTGAGGAGGAACCAGTGGATTTTGTCTAAAGGGGTGAAGGAAGGAAGATGGACATTGTCCTGGGAAAGGAGGAGAAATGTGGTTCCATTTGCATCTAAAGGGGAACCTCCCCTTTAAATTATAATTCTTCTTACTTAATGCACAAGATATAATTCAATCATAGAATCATAGAATTGCAGAGTTGGAGGGGGGCACAAAGAAATAAGGGGGGGGAACCAATACAGTTGAATTAAAATTAAACATATACACATACGTAGAGGAAAGACCAGCTCCTTCCCTGCAGACCCTTTCAGGTGCCAAGATTGGACATTTCTCTTCCCTCAGATACTCAGGGGGTGGCAACCTTGGGCAGGGCCTTCTCTGTGGCAGCCCCTAAGTTGTGGAACTCCTTCCCCACAGAGGTGAATCTGGCACCTTCATTATACAACTTCTGGGGGATGCTGAAGACACACCTTTTTACCTTTGCTTTTGACACCTGAGGTGTATATTTTTGAGATGCACCTTATTTTTGCGACTGTAAGTTGCTTTAAACAGTTTTTTAATATTGTGGTTTAATACAGTGGTACCTCGGGTTACAGACGCTTCAGGTTACAGACTCCACTAATCCAGAAATAGTGCCTCAGGTTAAGAACTTTGCTTCAGGGTGAGAACAGAAATCGTGCTCCGGCGGTGTGGCGGCTAGCAGGAGGCCCCATTAGCTAAAGTGGCTAAAGGTTAAGAACAGTTTCAGGTTAAGAACGGACCTCCAGAACGAATTAAGTTCTTAACCCGAGGTACCACTGTATTGTAACCCGTCCTGGGATGCTAGGATGAAGGGTGAATCAACAGCAACAGATAATTTGAATCATTCCCTTCACAATCTCTCCCAGTTCCGGAATCTCAGGACAAAAATGGATCTGAAGCAGGGGGGCACATGCATCCTATCCCCTATAACGAGAACTGCCAAATTCCCCCCCACCTCAGATTTACCACATGTTGAGAATCAGACCATAAGAACTATTCCAGCAATCAACAAACTTGGACCAATTTTCTGTAAACCCAATAAATTCTATAACCCTAGTATATCTAATAAATGTCAGGGCTTCCCTTTCTGCGATGTTCCATACTTCACCCCAGACATTCTCTCCAATCTGGGGTTGTATTTAGCTTCCAGTGTCTGGTGCAGACTATCTTTGCAGCTGCCAGTAGGTCCGCGAAACAGAAGATTCCCGAACACAGACGCACACACCCTGCCCTTGCCCTCCTTGCGGCGGTAAAAGGTCTCCAAATCCGTCACGCTAGCTTTAGCAACAGCTAGATATGCAGTTCATGTCTGTCACAATGCTGTGAAAAGCTTCGCCTGCTGATTCCTGGATATTGAGCTAGAAGTTGCTTGGGACTTTTAGTTTCGGGAAAAGGTGAGGAAGAAGTATCATGATAGAAGTTTATAAAATAATGTATGTCATGGAGAGAGTGGACAGAGATATGGCAGCTGGGATAGCTCAGTCTGTAGAGCAGGAGACTCTTAATCTCAGGGTTGTGGGTTCGAGCCCCATGTTGGGCCAAAGATACCTGCATTGCGGGGGGTTGGTCTAAATGACCCTCGTGGTTCCTTCCACCTCTACAATTCTATGTTTCCTTCCCTTTCCCATAACGCTAAACCTATTTGGCATTCAGAAGCTGAATGTTGAAAGATTCGGGACAGTCCTTCTTCACACAGAGCAGAGTTAGACTGTGGAACTCCCTCCCACAGGAGGCCACCAACTTGGATGGCTTTAAAAGAGGATTGGACAATTACATGGAGGAGAGGGCTATCAATGGCTACTAGCCATAATGGCAATGTTCTGCCTCCACGGTCAGAGACCGCAATGCTTCTGAATGCCATTTGCTGGAAAGCACAAGAGGGGAGAGAGCTTGTGTGCTCGGATCCTGCTTGCATCCCACAAGCATTTGGTTGGCCACTGTGAGAACAAGATGCTGGACTAGGTGGGCCTTTGGCCTCATCCAATTGGGCCTTTCTTATTTTCCTATCGGAAGTGGTAATTGCAAATTGTCTCCTCCTCATATAGCTCCCCTGTCACTACCAGGGAAGGGTGAATATGTGAGTCTTGATTCTCCCCATTTCTCATTTTTTTTCAGTCTTCAGTTAACCACATTTCCACATCAGTTTGCATTTTTTAAAATAAAAAAATTCCCTCATTCATCAGCATTTTGGTGTGAATTCCCCCTACACGTTTTTGTACGCTCTTTCCCCGTAACGTATGCATTTTTTGCAAAGCAGTTTCCCCATATAGGACTCTCTTTAACATTGCTCTCAGCCATGTGTACCTATTTCTGCACACTTCACGCTTGTACAGTGGCACCTCAGGTTACAGACGCTTCAGGTTACAGACTCCGCTACCCCAGAAATAGTACCTCCGGTTAAGAACTTTGCTTCAGGATGAGAATAGAAATCGCATGGCGGCAGCGGGAGGCCCCATTAGCTAAAGTGGTACCTCAGTTTAAGAACAGTTTCAGGTTAAGAACGGACCTCCAGAACGAATTAAGTTCTTAACCTGAGATACCACTGTATATGCATGTTCACATACATTGCTTGGGCGGAGAGCTGCGCTGCACAATTCAGAGAAGCACGGCTTTCAAAGGTTGGCGGCGATTCAGTTCCTGTGCAAATGAGGTGAGTTTGCCTTTGGACGAGACCTGGATTGAATTTCCCACTTCCGCCGCTTCCCTCACCACCACCTACACTGCTCTGAAGGGCTATACCGTTTGCCTGAAGCAGATGGTGGATTTGTGGTCCCAGGGAACCAGCACAAAGCCCCTTCCTCCCCATTCCACCCGCAGAAGCTGCCTCAGGTTGGAGGAGCCTTCTGCAAACGGAAATGGATGCAGCTGGAGGCAACCGGAGAGAAGCGCAATCCTTCGAAGGGAGTCCCACTGAATTCCACGAAGCTTACTCCTTAGTAAGTGTGCTTAGGACAGCAGCCACTGACTGGTTATGATATTAAAGGAATCTGGAGAGAAATTTGGGAAAGGACGCAAGATAGAGAGGCCAACGCAAGATGGGAAAGTCGTTACTTGAAGAGCTTTTGAAACATGGATGGTGTTCAACTGAGCCATTAGAGCATTCTTTTTCGCCCTCGTTCTTTATTACCGAGCACTGAATGCTGATTCTCAGAATAATTTCTAATGGAAACTATGGGAGAGCAGCCCCCAGTGGCATCTCCAGAGAAGGAGGGGTGGGGATTTGCTTCTGTTTGCATTTAAAAGTGAACTTTCCAAATCCACACTTTCTGAAACAGTATGCGAAGCAAAACGCAGCCATCTTGCAAAATCCATGCTCCCTTGAATTTCACAATGCAGTTCGCCAGCCGAGTAATGCACTTAAAACTGCATACTGTGGCAAAGCATACATATAAATGTATATATGACACATTTATTTTTATTGGATTTATATCCCGCCTTTCCTCCCAAGAGCTCAAAGTGGTGTACATAGTGCACACTCGAGAAGGACCCTGGTAGAGACACATGCCCAACTGGCATGTTCTCTCCCTCCTGGTCGATCGTTCGGGAGCTTCAAAAGCTTTTAGAAGCCAGTGTGGTGTAGTGGTTAAGAGCGGTAGTCTCGTAATCTGGTGAACCGGGTTCGCTTCCCTGCTCCGCCACACGCAGCTGCTGGGTGACCTTGGGCCAGTCACACTTCTTTGAAGTCTCTCAGCCCCACTCACCTCACATAGTGTTTGTTGTGGGGGAGGAAGGGAAAGGAGAATGTTAGCCACTTTGAGACTCCTTTGGGTAGTGATAAAGCGGGATATCAAATCCAAATCCAAACTCCTTCTTCTATCCTCTCAACAACCCAGTGAGGTAGGTTAGGCTGAGAGTGAGTGACCAGCCCAAGGTCTCCCAGGGAGCTTCATGGCTTAAGTGGCGACTAGAATCCTGGTCTCCGAAGGCCCTAGACTGACTTCTCAGTTGGAGGCAGCAATAATTGGAAAACCAGTTGATAGAAACTTCAGGAGGGCATCTGGTTGGCCGCTATGAGAAAAGGATGCTGGAGGAGATGGACCTTTGGCCTGATCCAACAGGGTCTTCATATGTTCTTGTTGGAAAGTTCTTGCCTTGGGCTCCTGCTGATAGGCCCTTAATAAATAAAACGAATGACCTTCAAGGCCCCTCCAACTTTTATGTGTTGTATCTAACGCTAGTCCTACTCAAATCAGACCCACAGATGTGAGTGGAAACGACTTAGGTTCATTAACTTCAACGCATCTCGCCTGAGCAGGACTTAGTTGAACACAACCCTACGATTCCAAGAGGGCATTGACATTAATAGCGGAAGTATCGACGGGTTCTGTTCAGAGTCAGGATATTCTGTGCCTAAAGCATCCCGCTGACAGGGACTTTTCACTCTTGCCTTGACAGCAGGGGCCCCAGGAAGGAGATTTAGTAGCCTCCCTGGGCAGCTTGACCTGGGGATGAACTGTGCGGCAAGGCCAGAAATTCATCCATGATGTTTCATTTTAAAAAACCTGCATCCAGGTGCTCTCTAAGCCAATGGACCAGCATGAGGCATGTTCACACAAGCAAAGGCATTTTTTTAAAAAAAGACTTCCGAGTCACCAGCTAATCAGGTGTGAGTAAGGTCCGTGGGCTGTTTCATAGGCTAAATTTTCAGCGTGAGCATACATTGATTGGACAACGTTCTCTTGTTATCCAAGAAACCAAGACTTTGGCATAGGGATGCTTCGGTACAGCTGTGGCGGCAATGGGCCTCATCATTTCTCCAGGCAAGGGTTAGCTGCTAACATTCCGTTCCGTCTCCCAACATTCCGTCACACTTTAGGGTGACCAAGAGCCAATTCAGACGTGATTGTCAGATCACTCGTGGGGGATTTTTTAAGGGCAAATGCAGCTGTGCAGCCTCCGATTCGGATTGTGGTCTTGGCACAATCTTCCACGCTATGTTTCTTTCTCCTCATGGTATATTTCCAATCTGAATTGAACCTCCCTCTCCATCTGCTTGAGCTACTATATGGTCCATGGGGCAACTCACAACAGGGACCCTATTTCCCCCAAAGGAATGAATGGTAGTCCTTATACGGTAGAAAATAATTCAGTGCATTGAGGGATATCACTAGGGTGTAGCGGCGAAACCTTTCCCCCTCATGTTGGTGCCCCTGGTCAATAAGACTCAAACCTGCCGCAATCTGCACAGAGGCCCATTCTGGGTGCTGTTTATTGGTCACACCGAAGTGTGACGGAATGTCGGGAGCGTGGGACTGGATGTTAGCAATCAACTTTTATATAGAGAGATAATTAGGTCCGCTGCTGCTGGTGCAGCTGTACTGGAGCACATCTGTGCCAAATTCTGATTCCTCGGATGGCTGGAGAACATTCTCTGATCTGCGAATAAAATTTATTAACTGACGGTTCGTGTCGCTTTGTTTTCGTGAAGCTGTGTTGCAACCATAAATCTCGTTTCGGGTCAGAGGGCCGGCTGTTCCTGCTGTAACCTTGCTGCTCCAGCCCCAGCGGCAGGGCAATTGCATGTATTCTGTCGGCAGAAAGTCAACAGGGAACGCTTTCATCAGAACAAGGCGGGTGGGCAACACTATACCTGCTGAATTTCTGCCCGTGGCTTGCATCTGCAGAAGGCAAGAGTTCCTTGTCAGAAAAAAAAGTTTAATTTTAATTTTTTATTTTATAAAAAGGTTGCAACAGCAACACATGCCCCCAATCCAGATTGCTTTCCGGTGAGCTCTTGTTCCTCATCTCCTGCCCCACCCTGTCCGTTTTCCAATTACCAAAGAACTCGGGAATCCTCTTTTGAATTCTTCCTTAATTTTTGTTGCAACGCAATTTTGGAGCACACGGAATTTGTCTGCGTTGTTAGAGAAACAACAAACAAGGGAGGAATGAGCACGAGGCACCAAGCCAAAGATTGACTCACAACGAAGGCCCCATCACTCCTCCTCACCACCAGGCCTCTCTCGCCTGACGGATGATCTCTGCCGAGAGTCACAGTAGAAAGACTCAGACAGTACAGCCCGTTCTTCCAAGGCCATCTCTCCCCCACTACAGGGAGGCAACGCTAACATCTCCCCTGGGGGAAGATGGGGCCCAAACAGAAGCTGAAGGAAGAGCATTAGAGGACCAGCCTGAGATGCGTACTTAGGACTTTGGGTGGCTGAGGGCCTGGCCGACCAGGAATAAGGAGCCTCAAGACCAGGCCCTAAATGTGGCAGACCCTCCAAGTCTACCTCTTTTCCAGGGACAGTCCTAGTTTCTGATTTGATCCCAAAATGTTCCATTTTTCCTTAGGATATCCCTCTTTTCATCAGACAAATGTTGGAGGGTGTGGAGTTGTGTGACCTCCCCCAAACCAAGGAGATATGTAACTATAGTGGTACCTTGGGTTAAGTACTTAATTCGTTCCGGAGGTCCATTCTTAACCTGAAACTGTTCTTAACCTGAAGCACCACTTTAGCTGATGGGGCCTCCCACTGCCGCCGTGCCGCTGGAGCACAACTTCTGTTCTCAGCCTGAAGTTCTTAACCCAAGGTACTATTTCTGGGTTAGCGGAGTCTGTAACCTGAAGTGTCTGTAACCTGATGCATGTGACCCGAGGTACCACTGTATACAAATTTAGAAGACACCTGAAGGATGCCCTGTATGGGGAAGTTTCTTTTTTTATATTTAATGTTTTATTATGTTTTTATATATGAACCCATGACCCTGAGATAGTCTTATGCTCTACCAGCTGAGCTACCGTACAGATCTATAGGTATAATTTATGTACAACACACACAAACACACAAATAAGTACTGTAATGTGAATAAAAATATGAAACACAGTGAGGAGGACACCAGGTGAACTGTGTGCTTGCTGAGTCTGTTGACCAGCTGCTGTGGATGGGCAGCATCAAGGCTGGAGCCACCCCTAATTCACCAGCAATGAACCTATGAGGAGCTCCATAGGGTGAGTGGGGCACATAGAATCGAAGAGCTTGAAGGGACCCTGAGGGTCATCTAGTCCAACCCCCTGCAATGTGGGAATCTCAACTAAAGCATCCATGACAGATGGACACCCAACCCCTGCTTGAAAACCCCCAAGGAAGGAGAGTCCACCACCTCCCAAGGTGGGGCTTGGGGAAACTCCTGTCTGAAACCCCTGAGAGCAGCTGCCAATTGGAGCTAGATGAGCCAATGGCCTGATTCATCACAAGGCAGCTTCCTATGTTTGGAACTGGTCACGTTTTTGCTCCGGACGAAATCCAATGAGTCAACGTGACTGAGGAAGCCTGGTGTGCTCCGTAGCAGCAACACCCCAAAAGGTGGGGGGGGGGGGGCGAAACCCCGACACCAGACAACAAGTGGAATGAAGTGCTCATCTGAGCATCAAAGTTGGAAGAGTCTGATGTTTACAGGACCTTGCGCACTCCACCGCACAGTTCAGAATACTCACAGTGCAAAGTCACAGTCTGTCCGTAGGAACCCCCTTCCTCCAGCTGGCTTGATCCCTGCCAAATAGCAAAACAATTAGGTCTGGAAGCGCTCAGAGATTCAGCACGGACCAGCTTGGTTAATAATTGCCTGGCCAGTAGCTGGTGGCTGGACCCATCTCTGTGAAAACATCATTGGGAGCCAAATTATGAGTCGAGATTCATCTGAAATATGACTCCCCCGTTTGAGGAATATAGGAAGCTGCCTTATATTGGGTCAGACAATTGGTGCACCTAGCCTATTACTGTCTGCATGTACGGCCAGCAGCTCTACAGGGTTTCAAACACAAGCCTTTCTTCTAGGCCAAGATGCTGGAGATGGAACCTGGCGCTTCCTACATGAAAAACAGATGCTCCACCATTGAGTTACATCCCTTCCCCAACTTTCCCCCCAAATGGTGGCATCCCGAATTGTTTGGCCTTGATTCTATAACCTACATGTCATTACTTGGGAGCGGCCGCCGAGACCACATAACACCGGACTTGAAAGACCTACATTGGCTCCCAGTACGTTTCCAAGCACAATTCAAAATGTTGGTGCTGACCTTTAAAGCCCTAAACGGCCTTGGTCCAGTATATCTGAAGGAGCATCTCCACCCCCATCATTCTACTTGGACACTGAGGTCCAGCACCGAGGGCCTTCTGGTGGTTCCCTCACTGCGAGAAGCCAAGTTACAGGGAACCAGGCAGAGGGCCTGCTTGGTAGTGGCACCCTTCCTGTGGAACGCCCTCCCACCAGATGTCAAATAGAACAACAACTACCAGACTTTTAGAAGACATCTGAAGGCAGCCCTGTTTAGGGAAGCCTTTAATGTTTGATGCATTACGGTATTTTAATATTTTGTTGGAAGCCGCCCAGAGTGGCTGGGGAAGCCCAGCAAGATGGGCGGGGTATAGAAAATAAATTATTATTATTATTATTATTATTATTATTATTATTATTATTATTATACCTACTAGTGACCTGGGGGGGGGGGGGAAAGGGACATCCTGCTTTTTCTCGCAAGAGAACAGCAGCCATTTGGGGCATGCAATTTTGTGTCACGATTCCCCGCCCCCTCAAAAAAGCCTGGGAAAGCGTTTTTTTGGGGGGATGGGTTGCGGTGTGAAGTCGCGTAAGATCACGGCACCCAAAATGGCCGCCGCTCTCCCACAAGAAAAGAAAGGGAAAATGGTGCCCAGGAAGATGATGCCTGGGTTTTTGCCTTCAAGGTGTTGGAAGGTATAATGTGTTAGGAACTCTTGACTGTTGCACAAGCTGCAATAGCAACAACAACAACACAACCTCCCAAACCTTGGCAGAGATAGAGGAATCCCTCAAATTCTGCAGCTGAGAGCGACACACCTTTCCTTTCAGAAGGAAACAACGTGACAAAACATAGTAGCCTGGAGTGCTGCTGTCAGCCAGCCATGCCCAACTCCGCAAAACACCATTCCATTACCCCTCCCAAAGAGTGTTCCATTTCCTTCCCTTCCTGCAGAAGTCAGCATTCCATGGCCACTGAGCATGCTCCATCCTCACAGGGCTGTTCAGGGGGACTTCCCCCAATTTGTTTGCCCCCCCATACAATGATTTTTATATTTTCCCCTATATCTATTGATATATCTCTCTCATGTCTTCCATTTTGGCAAGGTGCCTCTCTGAGTGACCCCTCAGTGGGGAACATGAGTAGGAGAAATCTGTGGCTTTTGTGCAATGCTTCGGAGCTTCGCTTCAATGTACCTGGCTGGCCACTGTGAGAGCAGATAGGCCTTTGCCCTGATACAGCTCCGGGGTCTCCAGAAGTACAGGTGTCAGTTGTTATTTGAAAACAATATACATCAAAATAAGAAAAACTCACTTTCCCACAGCATAGTCCTCAAACAAAAACCCAAAACCACGAAGTGTGCAGATCCCTCCGGTGCTTGTTATATCATAAAAGCACGAGAGGAGGAAATGTGCAGAGGAAAACGACTCACTAGTTCTGAGGAAAAGCCATGCGCAGGATGAAACTCAGGGCAGTGTGTGAGAGTGTGGCTTTGTGAGGGGATTCCTCCCCCTGCCTGTTCCTACAGCCACACTTTTTTTTTTACTCATTGAGACCCAATGAGCTGTAATGAGGGAGGGTACCTATACATAAAGCAGACTTAACATCATATATTTTTAGCTCCTGAATGCATCACACACATAAATCTCTCTCTCTCATTTTTCGAGGCCAGTAATGGCTAGCTCTAAAAGCTTTTAAGCTGGGTCAGATCCAAAATTAGTCGCACTTAAAGCACCCCATTGGAATAAACGTGACTTGTCTGTGGCAAGCAGGACTAAGTTTGAATACAGCTCACCTTCCTATCTCCTCTCTTCTCCCCTTTCTCTTTGATGCCTCTCCCCCTACAACCTTGCCTCTCAGAAACATACCTCCCTAACTGATATGTGTTGAGGGAATAAACAAAGAGAGGAGAGGCCCCCTTTGCGTGCCACACTTGTGAGATTCCTTCCCGGAGGCATCTGGCGAGCTGACGCTGGCAAGGCGAACAGCTGGAGCATGGCCTCCTTGCTCCGGTTTCAGCCAGCGAGGCAACCGAGATGTTTATTTTGATCTCTTGACTTCTGAAAAGTCACCGTCCTAGCTGGCAGGAAGGTGCAGGAGTCCGTCCATTCTGCCGGACTCCCCCAAAGTGCCGCCACCCCACATTCCTTGTGCTGGCTTTGCCTCCTTTTCCTGCAGTGAGTGAGTAACACGTCCCCAGGGACCTTTCGCATGACAGTGTCTTCTCCTCACCTCCTCCTCCAGACATCCTTCTTTCCCCGCAAATACAAACACCCTGGACAAGACAATGGAAAAAAACCGAAATGAAATGCTCAGCCTCATCCCTCCATCCCCCAGACACCCCTCTCTCCCTCTCTCTTTGAGTTTGCCATGGGGGTAGGCACCTTCTGCCAGAGAGTCGTCCAACCCTCACGGCCACACACTGCAACTCTGGGCGAGGCCCGGGTTTTTATTGCAATGTTTTTGTTTCCCATTCCCTGTTCTCTGTTCTGAGTCACAAGCCCTGACCCAGATTCACCTGGATCGGGAACGGAGAGGGAGAGAACGGAATTGACATCCAGGGGTGGGGGTGCGGAGAAATGCGTCCTCAGAGAGAGCTGCTGTCCCACAGGGGTTACCGAAGAAGAAGAAGAAGAGTTAGGATTTGATATCCCGCTTTATCACTACCCGAAGGAGTCTCAAAGCAGCTAACATTCTCCTTTCCCTTCCTCCCCCACAACAAACACTCTGTGAGGTGAGTGGGGCTGAGAGACTTCAGAGAAGTGTGACTAGCCCAAGGGCACCTAGCAGCTGCATGTGGAGGAGCGGGGAAGCGAACCCGGTTCACCAGATTACGAGACAACTGCTCTTAACCACTACACCACACTGGCTGAGAAGAAGCTGAACCATGAACTACCTGAGGCCATGCTTCATAAAATTAGACATGGTATCGAGAAAGGGACGTGGGTGGCACTGTAGGTTAAACCACAGAACCTAGGACTTGCTGATCAGAAGGTCGGCAGTTCAAATCCCGGCGATGGAGTGAGCTCCTGTTGCTCGGTCCCAGCTCCTGCCAACCTAGCAGTTTGAAAGCATGTCAAAGTGCAAGTAGATAAATAGGTACCGCTCTGGCGGGAAGGTAAACGGCATTTCCATGCACTGCTCTGGTTCACCAGAAGCGGCTTAGTCATGCTGGCCACATGACCCAGAAGCTGTACTCTGGCTCCCTCGGCCAATAAAGCAAGATGAGCGCCGCAACCCCAGAGTTGGTCACGACTGGACCTAATGGTCAGGGGTCCCTTTACGTTTACCTACCGAGAAAGGGGGGCAGAGAAAAAAAGTTGTTCTCCCTCTCTCATGACACTAGAAGTAGTGGACACCCAAGGAAGCTCAGTTCAGGACAAGTGAAAGCAAAGACTAGACAAAGCATAGCTACACTGTGGAATTCACTCTCTCAGGAGGCAGTGATGACTTTAAAAGAGTATTGGACAAATTCGTGGAGGAGAGAGATACTAGCCATGATGGCTGCGCTCTGCCTCTATGGTCGGAGGCAGTAATGCCTCTGAATTCCTGAAGCCACAGGAGGGCAGAGGGCTCTTGTGCTCAGATCCTGTTGTTGGTTTCCCACAGGCATCTGGTTGGCTACTGTGAGAACAAGAGGCGGGACTAGGTGGGTCTTTGCCCAATCCAGCAGGCTCTTCTTATGTCGTTTTGGATCTACATAAACTTTGGTCCCATGACCCCACCACCACCATGCCCACCTTCCCAGACCCTACAAGTGCCCCTATTTTCCAGGGACAGTCCCAGATTTACAGAAGCCACCTTGGGTTCTGATTTGATTCTGGAATGTCCTACTTTTCCTTTTTTTAAAAAAGGTAAAGGACCCCTGACAGTTAAGTCCAGTCACGAACGACTCTGGGGTTGCGGCGCTCATCTCACTTTATTGGCCGAGGGAGCTGACGTTTGTCCGCAGACAGTTTTTCTGGGTCATGTGGCCAGCATGACTAAGCCACTTCTGGCGAAACCAGAGCAGCACACGGAAACGCCATTTACCTTCCCGCTGGAATGGTACCTATTTATCTACTTGCACTTTGACGTGCTTTCGAACTGCTAGGTTGGCAGGACCTGGGACCGAGCAACGGAAGCTCACCCCATCGTGGGGATTCGAACTGCCAACCTTCAATCGGCAAGCCCTAGGCTCAGTGGTTTAGACCACAACACCACCCGTGTCCCTAGGATGCCCCTATTTTCATCAGAGAAATGTTGGAGGATATGGAGTTATGAGAGCCCTGATCCAAGGAGAGAAGTAACTATACAGACTTTAGAATACATCTGAAGGCAGTCATGTATGAGGAAGTTTTCTAATGTTTAATGTTCTGTTGTTTTGTTATACACGTTGGAAGCTGCCCAGAATGGCTGGGGCAAGCCAGTTAGATGGGTAGGATATAAAAAGATTTGGTTTCCAGACCCTTGACCATCTTGGTCGCCCTCCTCTGCACACCTTTCAGCTTTGTCAACATCCTTAAATTGTGGTGCCCAGAATTGGACGCAGTATTCCAAGTGTGGTCTGACCAAGGTGGAATAGAGTGGTAGCATTACTATCCTTGATCAGGATACTACAGTTCTGTTGATGCAGTCTAGAATAGCATTAGCTTTTTTTGCTGCTGCATCACCTTGTTGACTCCATGGCCAGAGGCAGTAATATTTCAGAATACCAGTTGCTAGAAACCGTAGGAGGGGAGAGGGCTTGTGTGCTCAGATCCTGCTTCCAGTCTTCCTTCCCACAGGCATCTGGTTGGCCACTGTGACCTGATCTTGGCCTTGGGCAGTGATGAAAAAACTCTGGAGGAAACAAGCTCTTGATGTGATCAGTGAACTGACTTCAGATGTTACTTTTTCCCTTTTTTTTCACTTGGGTTTTAAATAAAGGGTTCTGTCGCCAACAAGGATTTGGAGCTAATCGCTTGTTTAATGGCTTTGCTGAAAACCTGTGTTGCTTCATGTTGGGGAAAGCCCTAATCCTGGAGAGCTGTGCTGTGAAATTCAGAGGAGTCTGAATATTTGTGGGATGGCTATGTTTTGGTTTGTGTATTGTTTCCGAAATAGGAAATGAAATGGATTCGCTTTCAAAAGTGAACTGAACCAAGCAGCTTTCTCGCCTACCCTTAATGTGCACCCGCTGGAATCATAAAGGGATTTGAAAGTGCCGTGCAAATGAGGCCGAAAAACAGCAGCTTCTTCCATTGGAGCAGAGATTTCAGCAGAACGCTACACAAGTTGATTTCTGTAGACTCTTTACCTAGGATGCAGTCTAACTTAGACCCCACATGAACTATCCATTTAAGGCAGTATCATACCACTTGAAATAGTTGTGGCCTATAATTCTGGGACCTATTGTTTGTTAACTGTGCCAATAATTTTTTAGGAGATCCCTGCTTCCCTCACAATGCTGCAATTCCCAGAGTTCCCTGGGATAGGGACCGACTGTTAAACAACGAGAATTGTAGCCCTGTGAGGGGGAATAGGTGGGTCTCCTAACAACTCTCAGCACCCATAACAAACCCATCCCACTTTAAAACAGATGGCTTTCCCCAAAGTATACAGTCATACCTTGGTTCTCAAATGCCTTGGGACTCGAATGTTTTGGCTCCCAAACACCGCAAACCCGGAAGTGAGTGTTCCAGTTTGTGAACGTTTTTTGGAAGCCAAACGTCTGGTGTGGCTTCTGCAACTTTCAATTACAGTGGTACTTCAGGTTACAGATGCTTCAGGTTACAGACGCTTCAGGTTTCACACTCCGCTAATCCGCTAATCCAAAAATAGTACCTCGGGTTAAGAACTTTGCTTCAGGATGAGAACAGAAATCATGCGATGGTGGCGCAGCGGCAGCAGGAGGCCCCATTAGCTAAAGTGGTGCTTCAGGTTAAGAACAATTTCAGGTTAAAAACGGACCTCCAGAACGAATTAAGTTCTTAGCCTTAGGTACCACTATAGTGCAGGAAGCTTCTGCAGCCAATCGCAAGCCGCGCCTTGGTATTTGAACGTTTTTGGAAGTCGAACGGACTTCCGGAACAGTTTCCATTCAAGAACCAAGGTATGACTATATAGTTCCCAGGATTCTTTGGGGGAAGCCGTCTGTTTTAAAGTGGGATGGTTCTACGACTATGTTTCTCTTCATCTGTGCTCTCTGCCTCCCAAGGGACCGTTGTGTTCCGCAGCTAAGTGCTGGAGGCACATCCGAGCGAGTGCAAGTGTTTATATTTTCAACCTACAAAAAAAGTTGAGGAACAGCCGTTGTTGTTTCTTCCATCCCAGTAGTCCAGTCCCACAGTGTGTCCTGAAACCTGATTTGCACCAAGCTACTGTCTGCTTAAATTAAGTCTGTCCGCATGATGCTTCTTGCACTCCATCATCAGACCATTAGGATCTGACGATGACAAGGAGTGGGCAGAAGGCAGATTGGGATCTGCTGGCAGAGCACCAGGGTGAGTTGAAGTACTTGCAGGACAAAAAGATTAACAGTAGCAAGAAGGAAAAGGCCTCCATTGCCCTTGCCCTTTCTAAATTAGGTTGCTGAAACAAAGAAAGCTTGGGGGGAAACCAGGAGTGGATTTCTGGGTGGAAAGTCTGTGAGGTCAGTTCTGTATCTAAAAACAAATGGCTGGACTGAGCATGGGGGGTGGGTTCAGTTTGCATTTAAAAGTGAGCTTGCCTAATTTGCACTTTCTGAAATGATCATAGAATTATTTAATTATAGGGGGTCATCTAGTCCAACCCCTTGCAATGCAGGAATCTTTTTGCCCAATGTGGGGCTTGAACCCACAACCTTGAGATTAAGGGCATGTTTAGCCTGGAGAAGAGGAGGTTAAGGGCTGATATGATAGCCATGTTCAAATATATAAAAGGATGTCACATAGAGGAGGGAGAAAGGTTGTTTTCTGCTGCTCCAGAGAAGCGGACAATGGATCCAAACTACAAGAAAGAAGATTCCACCTAAACATTAGGAAGAACTTCCTGACAGTAAGAGCTGTTCTGACAGTGGAATTTGCTGCCAAGGAGTGTGGTGGAGTCTCCTTCTTTGGAGGTCTTTAAGCAGAGGCTTGACAACCATATGTCAGGAGTGCTCTGATGGTGTTTCCTGCTTGGCCCTTGTGGTCTCTTCCAACTCTATGATTCTATGATTCTATGATTCTAAGAATTTCATGCTCTACCAACTGAGATATCCCCGAAGGGCAATGAGATTGGCACACATTCCAACTGTTTCTAAAAAAGGGTAATGTTTTTAAGTGTGTGTTCATGATAATGGAAACAGAATATCTGGGATCATTTCCTAGTATAATTCATTACCTCCCTCAAACAAAAATACAGCATATTTGGGGGTGATATGCAAACCAAAGCCATCCTTTAAAAGTTACACTTCTCCAAATTTACGGTGCAGCCCTCCAGCGAATTAATATGTACAAAAATGCATATACAAGGGCAGTGTGCCTAAAATGCATATGTTAGTGAAAATAACATACAGAATGATGCATTTTATTAAGGGATATTGCCTTGGCAAAATGACTGTTGAATCCCTTATAGCCATGCCTGATCACTGGGGTCTTCAGGAAGGGGTACCAATTTGAATAAAATATGGGGGGGGGGGAGACAGGTAAGCCCCACCCCGCATAATCACAAAACACGATGCATGTGTACCATTTGAATGGAAATGCCCATCAACTCCATTTTTTTTATGGGGGGGTATTGTTGAAAGGAGATCCACCCCTAGGGGAAGTCAATGGTCCCCAATGAATTGGGTGCATGGGTGTACCCCCCAGGAGCTGTGCATTTAGTACAGTGGTACCTCAGGTTACATACGCTTCAGGTTACATACGCTTCAGGTTACAGACTCCGCTAACCCAGAAATAGTACCTTGGGTTAAGAACTTTGCTTCAGGATGAGAACAGAAATCGCGCGGCGGCAGCGGTGGCATGGCAGCAGCGGGAGGCCCCATTAGCTAACTTCAGGTTAAGAACAGTTTCAGGTTAAGAACGGACCTCCGGAATGAATTAAGTACTTAACCCGAGGTACCACTATACTGTGGGGCCAATTTTATGGAACTCCCTTCCTGTTCAGGCCAGACAGGCCCGCTCCCTACTGAATTTCTGGTATCTAGTAAATGCGACATAACCAGCTTCATATAACCAACATGCTTAAGTTTAATTAATGCATGAATTGGTTAATACCATAGAGTAAGTTGTCCTGCCAGGCTTAGCTAAGTCCACCTTCCCTCACCTTGGGAGAAACAAGGTAATCAAGGCTTTGTTCTCCAGTCTACCTGAGAAGCTCAACGTTTGAACCACATGGTTCTCACAAGCCGCTCTTGAGTTCCTATACATGGGCGTAGCCAGGCTTTATGGGGTTTTTTTGGGGGGGGGCAGAACCTCAGTTAGTTAAGTACAGTGGTACCTCGGGTTACAGACGCTTCAGGTTGCAGACGCTTCAGGTTACATACACTTCAGGTACAGACTCCACTAACCCAGAAGTAGTACCTCGGATTAAGAACTTTGCTTCAGGATAAGAACAGAAATCATGCAGCGACAGCATGGCAGCAGTGGGAGGCCCCATGAGCTAAAGTGGTGCTTCAGGTTAAGAACAGTTTCAGGTTAAGAACGCACCTCCAGAACGAATTAAATTCTTAACCCGAGGTACCACTGTATTGATTTACTTGATTTGAGGAGCAGCTGCCCCCCTACCCCTCCTCGGCTACGCCCATGTTCCTATACCAATAACTTAGGAACTTTCACCACTTTGTAACCAAACTAAGTTTTACTGCCTGTGCAACCTTTCTGACAGATGTATGGAAAAGCACATGAATCTGACTCTTGGAGAGTTTGTAAGTAAAAAAAAACAAAACTCTACAAATGTGTGGTCTTTTTCTGTGCTAGTAGAAGAGGGAAACTTGGAAAGGAACTTAGAAGGTCATATTTTAAAGGTCTAACAGCTTATATTTCCATGCTCTACTTTGTAGCACATTTTGTGATTTTTAAATCTCTGCTGGGGTTCTCTCATGAAAGAGTACTTGCACCAAACTTGGATCTTGGCACCCAGGAATTCTCCTTTCTATATTTCCTCCCTGAGCCAACACTAAATATTATTATTATTATTATTATTATTATTATTATTATTATTATTCCAGCAGGCATCATACACTTTTAACTGATACCGTATTTTTCTCTCTATAACACTCACATTTTTTCTCCTAAAAAGTAAGGGGAAATGTCTGTGCGTGTTATTGAGTGAATGTGTGGTCCCTGGAGCCAACTGGCAACCAGACTGGCAACGATCCACATGGATCCTCAGGATCTTTGCATTGGGTCACCCCAAATTCACCAACAGATCACATAGCATGTCCATGGCTACAGCCTGCACCAAAAAAATCGCGCACCCACTGTTGCCTGGGGCCACAATGGTGCAAAAACGTGGTTATAAAGCACAGATCCACATGGATTCTCAGGATTTTTGCATTGGGCTACCACAAACTCACTGTCAAATCACATGTCTGTGGCCACAGCATGAAGCACAAAAATGATACATCCACTGTTTCATTCAGATTTTTTTTTTCTTGTTTTCCTCCTCTAAAAACTATGTGCGTGTTATGGTCAGGTGCGTGTTATAGAGCAAAAAATACGGTAATTAGTTTTTTGCATTGCATCTTTGTAAATAGCCTAAAGGTTATTGTAGTTAAGCAGTATTTAAATTCTTTAAAACAAAAAGTAAATAAAAGGAATATAGGATGCAGTGTTTATGTCTGTGAAGCCTAAGTGCAGAGAAGCCTAATGGTGGGATCATGTTGCATCTGGCTCTGGTTGGTGGACCTCAAAGATTCATAGAATAGAATCACAGAGTCTTTGGGTTGGACTAGATGCCCCGTGGGTCCCTTCCAACTCTATGATTCTAGTAAAAATAAATAAAATCAAAAGCAGATCCATTTTTCCTTAACGCTGCCCGGCTCTGCAGACAAAGGCTTTCCTATTGTGTTCTGCCTCCCCACTTTATCCCCCCCTCTTCCCCTTTCTTATTCTTACTGTTTTGAGGAAGATCTGGGGAATTCAAAAGCCTGCCCTCTACTTCGTGACTTTCTAATTAATCACTTTGTCTGTTTACTGGAAGGTCTCTGGGCAAGTTACAATAATATAATCATACAATTAAAAAGAAGTTAAAAAGTCAAAACAGTTTACAGCAGCACGGTATTAAGTTAAACAAAACAGAAGAGGTGGGACCCACAAAAATTCCTTAACATGTCAAAGGCCGGGGTTAAGAGGTGTGGATCCAGCATATGGCAGATGCTGAATAATGATGGCAACAGACACACCTCTGTGAGGAGGGAGACTCGCAACTTAGGGGCTGCAGCAGAAAAAAAAGCTTCCACGCTGCCATTCCCTGCATTTCTGTGGGTGGTGAAATTAACCACAAATTCTATGCTCCTCCAATCTCAGAGGCACTATATGCCTCTGAATGCCAGTTGTGAGTCGAGGTCCCACCTCCGCTTGGAGATAAAATAAGACACAAGTATTTAGGTTAATGGGCTAAAAAAGGCCACAACTTTATTGGTTACAGAATGTGAGTGGTATTGGCTTAGGCCATGGGTTGGCAAACTTAGGCCCTGGGGCCGGATCCGGCCCAATCATCTTCTCAATCCGGCCCATGGACGGTCCAGGAATCAGTCTTTTTACATGAGTAGAATGTGTGCTTTTATTTAAATGCATATCTGGGTTATTTGTGGGGCATAGGAATTCGTTCATTATTATTTTTTTCAAAATATAGTCCGGCCCCCCACATGGTCTGAGGGACGGTGGACTGGCCCACGGCTGAATAATGTTGCTCACCCCTGAATCTAAATCCTCAGAGAGGGAGGGAATGCTTATCGCTGTCACTGAATGATGAAAAGAGAAGATACAAATGGATTAAAATAAATGAATGAAAAATAAAATAAATAGCTCTGAGTTGTTGGCAATCACCACCACCACCAATGAATTCATGCTATTTTAATTGCCCCCCTCCCCAACAAGCCCATTGAAGGGGGCTGAAAGATTTAGGAACTTTTTGAAGAACCAAGGTCTGAGGGACAGTGGACGGGCCACGGCTGAAAAAGTTTGCTGACCCCTGGCTTAGGAATTGGATCGAACAGACTATACTTGACTCCTGCCCGCTCTGCTGGGAGTCACGCAGGGGTTAACAACCTGTAGGGGGTGTTGTTGATGTAAATCAACTGGAAACTTTCCCCTAGAGTCACTGGGGGTCGAGCCATGGCCCTAGCCACCACCAGGGCATCGGACAGGAACCACGACTGCTGGATTCCTTTAACGGAATACCCTTCAAGGGGAGGGGTAGGTGATGGCCACAACCCCCCCGACACACAACGCAAGTAACCCTTTTCGGTATTTCCGGGTCGCCGCGGGACGCAACCTGAAAAGACGTAACCTGAACCGAACATAACAAGAGGTATGACTGTATTACCTTGCATGTCCACCACATATGGTAGAAGTTGCCTTTTTTCTCTTTACATTTTCAGCAGATATTTGTACTTGTCATACATTTTTGCTAACTTACTGGGAGTCAAATGCCACAGGTACATCATTTCCATATAATGTTCTTTCAGCGTACAACATGCCGAGATTGATAATGCATTTTGTAACAAGATGTTCAGTTAGCATCACTTGTGCTTACATCCTAAAACCTAGAGGAAAAACTCATGCATGTCGGGAACGTCACACACACCAAAGGAGCCCGGAGGAAGGGGGAAAACCTGACACCTGGGTGAGAAAGGGTGATGGAGGCATGATCTGTGGAGGTTCAGCGCCTCTGCTTCCCCTTCATCTTCTTCCCCCTTCTCCTCTCCTCCCTTTCCTTTTCATGCGCTGCTCATTAAATCACCATTAACTTCGAGAGCCTTTCTGCGCATTGCCTCATCCCATCGCTATGGCATCTGGATGCAGCAGCATCTGGAGTCTCGATGCAGATGTTTGGTTGCCCCGGCAACCGACGGGCTGGTTGGTAAACAAATGCAAGCGGTGTGGCGGGGGGGGAGGGGGAGAGAGAGCTTTTCCTTCCTTCCTATCATCTTTCCTTCCCTTTTGTAGCAAAACAAACTCAAAGTCCTCGTTTCCCGGCAAAGCTCTTGGCTTCGAAAGGAATGGCAACGGCGTCCAGAGTTGCAGAAGTAGCGGGGCGGACGGGGACGGGTGTCAGATAGGAGGATGCCAAGACTCCTGGCTTTATGGAACGGGAATCAAATTGAGAGGGTGGGGTGTGCGTGTTTAAAAAAAGGAGAATTTGCAATGCATGGCTTCTGAGTTCTCCACACCCTTTGTCACAGTGTGTACAACCAGCTACCAGGCTATGCTTCATTTCTGCAAGTTTTCATAGAACTGTAGAGTTGGAAGAGAACCAAACGGTCATCCCCTCCAATCCCCTGCAATGCAGGAATGTTTCGTCCTCCTCACTTTTGGGTCCCCCCATAGGTCCGTATAGTAAAAGCTATAGTTTTCCCAGTAGTGATGTATGGAAGTGAGAGCTGGACCATAAAGAAGGCTGATCGCTGAAGAATTGATGCTTTGAATTATGGTGCTGGAGGAGACTCTTGAGAGTCCCATGCACTGCAAGAAGATCAAACGTATCCATTCTTAAGGAAATCAGCCCTGAGTGCTCACTGGAAGGACAGATCCTGAAGCTAAGGCTCCAATACTTTGGCCACCTCATGAGAAGAGAAGACTCCCTGGAAAAGACCCTGATGTTGGGAAAGATGGAGGGCACAAGGAAAAGGGGACGACAGAGGACGAGATGGTTGGACAGTGTTCTCGAAGCTTCCAGCATGAGTTTGACCAAGCTGCGGGAGGCAGTGGAAGACAGGAGTGCCTGGCGTTCTCTGGTCCATGGGGTCACGAAGAGTCGGACACGACTAAAAGACTAAACAACAGCAACATAGACTGGTGGGTCTTTTCTGTCTCTTTCCCTTGTCAGCGTCAAAGCTGAATCCTAAAAGACAGAGGTGTTCGATGTCCCGACTCAAGTTCTCAGGCCTTCTCTTGAAGGAACAGGCCTCTCGTTTGAGGGGTGCTCCTGGATCTAACACAGTCTGTGGAGGTTCAAGTGGCCATGGGGTGCCTTGTCCTAACTCCCTCATGCTCACCACCTACAGTCCTTTGTGGAGAGAAGTGACTTGGCCGCTGTACTCCATGCTCTGGTAACTTCCAGACTGGATTACTGCAACATGCTTCTACCTGGGGCTGCCCTTGAAGACGACTCAGAAACTTCAATTGGTCCAGATCACCAGAATTCCCTTTAGAATTCATATAACCACTTTTTTGATCCCATGATTCTACCTGAAAGACCACCTCTTTCCCTGCACAACTTCTCAGGTGTTAAGATCGACAGAGGAAGCACCCTTGGTAGTTCCACTGCCCTCAGATGTTCAGGGTCTTCTAAAAGTCAAATAGTTGTTTATTTCCTTGACATCTGATGGGAGGGCATTCCATAGGGCAGGGGGCGCCACCACCGAGAAGGCCCTCTGCCTGGTTGCCTGTAACCTCACTTCTCGCAGGGAGGGAACCGCCAGAAGGCTCTCGGCGCTGGACCTCAGTGTCTGGGCTGAACAATGGGGGTGAAGATGCTCCTTCAGGTATACTGGCCGAGGCTATTTAACAAAATGTATAGGGTTGTATGCAGCGGAAATCCTACTCCTAGTAAACCCATCAAGATAGATAAACATAACTTAGAGCCATTAATTTCAGTGGGTCTACTCTGAGTAACAGCTAGTTGAATACAACCCATATACCCACTTGACTGTAATAAAGCCTCTTAGCAGCGCTCTCTCTCTCTCTCTCTCTCTCTCTCTCTCTCTCTCTCTCTGAATGACAAACAGGTATGCAAAAACATTCAAAAGATCATTAAAATTACGTGCCAAACATTCTTCATGTCTGCATAGGCTTGCCTAAATAAGAATGTTTAAGCAGCTGCTAAAAATAGTTCAGCAGCGCAGGGATCTCAGCTAAAGCGTTCATGACAAAGGGCCACCCAATCTCTGCTTAAGAACTTGCAAGGAAGGAGAAGCCACAACCTCCAAAGGAAGACTGTTCCCTCAGTATGAAAAGATGCAGGATTTCCATTGGAAGTTTTTGGATACTCTCTGATTGGAGACGAAGCAGTATGTCCGCCCCAAAACTTTTGCCGTGAAAGCGGAATCATGTGTCACTTCCCCAATATCATATTGAGCACAAATAATCACAAATGCGCCATAGAAAGGACACCTGAAGCATTTTGGAGTAGTGCTGGGTCAAGACACAAGAAGTTTCAGTCCAAATTCATGATGGGCTAAAAACGAGGTGTGTTTGTGTGTGTGAAACTGCCTTCCTGCTTTCGTCTTTCTGGGGTAGAGGGATGACTTTTCCAAGAATGCCCCATTCCTAGAATGCCAGCACATACTTCATGCACAAACACACAAACACAGACAGATACAGGACATTCTGTTTTATGTATGTTCTGAGCGGCTCCAAGGGGAGTGAAGCTGAATTCAGATTTGCCTCCCAGGCTAAAGCAGGTCACCTGATACTATTATATAGCACCAGGTGATTGACAGATGGGCGCAGCTGCTCACCTGCAAAACATGGCCTGTAGAACTGTGTAGAGATAAGGATTTGGCCCGTTGCCTGGATTCGGTCCTCTCCCGATCCCTGCTTTAGCTGAAATCGACTTCCCTCCTGCTCCCACTTGTTGGTTCTCGCCTTGCCCTCTGGAGCAACAAGAGAAGAGGGCTTCTCCATGACGTTCCTTCTGATACTTGGAGACCACTGTCATGCCTCTGCCCAACTGTCTCTCCTGAAGGCTAAACGTAGCCAGCTTCTTCCGTCGTTCCTCGTAGGTAGAGAGAGATGGGTGAACCTGCTAATTTCGGTTTCTCCCATGTTTTTATTTTTCCAGTCATAAATTCGGTTCTCCGCATTTCCAAATCAACGTGCAAATACTTTCTGGAGGGGAAAAAAGCCCTCAGGAAAATTAATCAGAATTTTTAGTGCACCCCCCCCCCCCATAACACACGTTTTTGCAAAGCAGTTTCCCCAATATGTGTTTTGGTACATTATTTTCACTAACACGTGCATATTTATGCAAACTTATAACTCTAGCATGTGCATTTTTCTACACATAACTTGGCTGGAGAGTCACAAAATTCAGAGAAGTGCAAATTTCAAAGGTGGTTGGGCTGAGAGGAAGTGACTGGCCCAAGGTCACTCAGTGAGCCTCATGGCTGAGTGGGGATTCGAACTTTGGTTTCCCAGGTCTTAGTCCAACACTCTAAGCAGAGAGCCAGTGTGCCATAATACTTAAGAGTGTTGGACTATGACCTGGAAGACCAGGGTTCGAATCCCCACTTGGCCATGAAGCTCAGTAGGTGACTTTGGGCAAGTCATAATCTCTTAGCCTATCCTACCTCACAGACAAACCTAGACAGCATGTTAAAAAGCAGAGACATCACCTTGCCGACAAAGGTCCGTATAGTAAAAGCTATGGTTTTCCCAGGAGTGATGTATGGAAGTGAGAGCTGGACCATAAAGAAGGCTGATCGCCGAAGAATTGATGCTTTTGAATTCTGGTGTTGGAGGAGACTCTTGAGAGTCCCATGGACTGCAAGAAGATCAAACCTATCCATTCTGAAGGAGATCAACCCTGACTGCTCACTGGAAGGACAGATCCTGAAGCTGAGACGCCAATACTTTGGCCACCTCATGAGAAGAAAAGATTCCCTGGAAAAGACCCTGATGTTGGGAAAGATGGAGGGCACAAGGAGAAGGGGACAACAGAGGACGAGATGGTTGGACAGTGTTCTCGAAGCTACAAACATGAGTTTGACCAAACTGTGGGAGGCAGTGGAAGACAGAAGTGCCTGGCATGCTCTGGTCCATGAGGTCACAAAGAGTCAGACACGACTAAATGACTAAACAACAACAACAACAACCTCACAGAGTTGTTGTGAGGATGATCTGGGGAGGAGGAGAACCACACATACCAATTTGAGCTCCTTGGAAGGCAAAGGTGGTATATTTATGTAATAAATAAATACACCACACTGGCATGACACAGAGAAGCAACGGGCATTCTCCTTTGTGGGTTATGCGCAGCTTCAGCTTGCAAAAGATACTCCCTGTTGCGACTGAATGGAAGGTAGCAGGCTGCCTTATGCCGAGTGATGCCATTGGTCCATCTAGTTCAGTACTGTCCACACCGATTGGTAGTGGCCCTCCATCGGTGTGGACAGTACTGAACTAGATGGACCAATGGCATCACTCAGCATAAGGGGTTGACTCTGGGACCCTTTGCATGCAAACTGGAGGCCATGGCCACTGAGCTATGGCCATCCCCATAAATTCTGGGCTCGACGGATCAGTGGCGTGGCTTGTGCTTTTGTCCCTTCAGATGCTCTGGGTGTTCCCAACCCGTGAGGAAAAGAGGAATGCCAACCTCTCGGCTCTGTTCTTTCCATGTGCAGGGTGCAGGGCTTTCTTTACCTTGCCATCAGCACCTTCCTCTGCCAGACTGCAAAGTTTCTGCCACTGGCCAGCCAGGGATATTTCCCCGTGATCTAATTCTGTGTTGTTTTCATCAGCAATCCCCAGGGCGGAGGTGGCAAGAGAGCCTTCTCTTCCAGAAGAGGCTTAGTTGTTCGCCAGCCCATGGCCAGGAAACTCTGACAGCTGAAGCTTCTGTCTCCTGGGTGGCCTTCAGCTGCTTGGTCAAATGGGCTCGGGCAGCCGCATGGGCTCAATCCACGTGCCTAGTCTGCTTCCATGAGATGGAGTGGTGAAGAACCTTGGGTCCAAGGACTGGATGTGGCCCTGCAGGCCTCTCTCTCTGTCTCTCAGATCCCTTCCCAGGAAACTCCTCCTCCCCAGGCCGCAACCCTTATTCTCGGGCCACACCCCTCTGTGCCCTTCCTAACTGCTCTTGCCTGGCTGGACTCTGACCTTGGATTGTGATAATGCCCCTTGCTTGACCAGCTGCTGGAGCAGATGATATGGCGGGGCAGAGGCATGGATTTGGCCTCTCAGCAGGTGATTTGCTACTGCTTACCAGGAGGGAGGGACGCGATGGCAGGGAGGCTGGATTGAAGATTAAATGTGTAAATTAAAATTCAATCCTCCTATGCCATGTGTGTGGGGTGAAATATGAGAGTAAACAGACTGTGAAGCCCTTTTAGCAGAGTAAAAACACATACGCGTTGGCAGCTTGCTGGAAACTTGGAATTAGGCAATTACACCTTTTATCTGTGTCAACAACAACAACGTCCCTCAGGCTGGGTTTTAGCATAGACCACATGTTTTAGCAAAAATTAAAAGGTTTACTTACATTTCAATGCAGGCAGAAAATTCTTCTATGTAGTATTCAGGTAAAAATGCTTCTTGGTTACGAAATACAAAATGGAGTTTCGAAAATGGAGTCTGGGCTCTGAGCAGGGCCCAGGCATGTATGTCTACTCACATTGCTGGGTTGAAAGAAGTGAAAGATTGAGGCAAGGAGGAAGGAGAAAAGATTAAGATCCTTTGTCCTATTTCCTGCTACAGGAAACAGGAAATATTATGTCACATAGATTTGTCTTCTCTAAGAATACAAGAGTCTTAACCCCTTCATGTTTAGTAAACATAATTGTCATTTTGATTGCAGATTTCCCCAGAGTTGGCATGGTGCAGATGCACTGGCAGAGCCATTCTGGTGCCCCTGCTGGTGCATTTGCACTGCACCAACCTACCTTCCCTCACGCCCACAAACACACCCCAGGGTCCCAAGGCTGCTCAAGCTTCCCATTGGCTGCTATTTGTGCAACTAAAGGAGTGCAGGTTAATTGTGTCTGCGCAACTAACATGTTGAGTTGGGCCCCGAGTCTGCTTTCTGCTTACGATGTGCTGTGGTTGTCTGGTCCAGCACATTTTGCTGCCTGAGGCAAAAGGCAAGATGCTGTTCCTTCCTTTCCACATACAGAAGCACATACAGATTGACAGATGCTATTTGCTTTCTCTTGGTTTTCATTTATTTTTTGGTATTATGAATTATGTTTTGTGTTTTATTATGTAAATTTGGTTGCATGGGTGGTAAGGTAAAGTGTAAAGGGACCCCTGACCATTAGGTCCAGTTGTGGCCGACTCTGGGGTTGTGGCGCTCATCTCGCTTTACTGGCCGAGGGAGCCGGCGTAGAGCTTCCGGGTCATGTGGCCAGCATGACTAAGCCGCTTCTGGCGAACCAGAGCAGTGCATGGAAACGCTGTTTAGCTTCCCATTGGAGCAGTACCTATTTATCTAATCGCACTTTGAGGTGCTTTCGAACTGCTCGGTGGGCAGGAGCAGGGCCCGAGCAATGGGAGCTCACCCTGTCGTGGGGATTCAAACCACCGACCTTCTGATCGGCAAGCCCTAGGCTCAGTGGTTTAACCCACAGCGCCACTCACGTCCCTGCATGGGTGGTAGTAGTGAATAAATGGATAAAAATGGTACATTATTCCAACAGTGGTGATGTGACAGCATCCCGTGTGCATGCCCCCCCCCATGTTGTCAGCAGGCTAGTGTGGCAGCTCAGTCCCCCAATATCTTGTATCCCCTGCCTTATCTCCAGCATCCACTGCTTAAGGAAGCTGCCTGATTCTACCTAATGGTAGAGCCGGCCCCAATAGTCTCTATTGGCTTACTATTTTTATACTACAGTACTGGATGAAATGGGCCATGGGTCTGATTCAGTATGCAGCTTTATGTGTTGACAAGTGTATCCTTCTGAAAGTCGAAGAACCATGAAATCCCAGACAAGTATTGATTGATATCTGAGAATCGAGGTTCCACAAAATTGTCTCTCTTTAGTTGGCAAATGTATTAAGAGCAGCCAAAACGTTGCTCACCATGAAATGGCGGCCTGCTCAAATCCCCATGGTTCAGCAAGGGTGTGGTACAACGGCAAAACTTACGAAATTAGTGAAATTAAGAGATGAGAGACCGGAAAAAAGAGCAAATGGGAAAGACAGGGTTGTATGAAGCTGAAGTTTAATTTGGAATTATCCAAGGTCTTTTCGTCTCTGAGAGAATAAATGATTCATATGACCTGTTGATACTGAATTCATGAATATATTTGATTATTTGTAATACTGACCCACTTAAAATGTTTTATTATAGATTTGATATATGTGCTGGAAGCCGCACATGTGGCTGGGGAAATCCAGCCAGATGGACGGGGTATTATTGTTGTTGTTGTTGTTGTTGTTGTTGTTGTTGTTGTCGTTATTAATAATTGATGAGTGTGGAACTGAAGGAGCATAATAATATATCGTTTTGATTTTAAATATGAAGGCTGTATTATATGTTATGGTTTGCATCCTGTATCAGCCATACTCAAAGTAAACCCACTGAAATTCATAGCTGTGACCTAACTTTGGCATTGTCAAGCTGAAATGTGTGCAGAGGAGGGCAACCAAGATGAGGAAGGGCCTGGGAACCAGGCCTTATGAGGAGCGTTTGAAGGAGCTGGGTGTGTTTAGCCTGGAAAAGAGAAGACTGAGAGGAGATAGGATAGCTGTCTTCAAATATCTCAAGAGCTGCCACATGGAGGAGGGAGCAAGCTTGTTTTCTCCTGCTCTGGAGGGTAGCACTTGAACCAAGGGCTTCAAGTTACAAGGAAGGAGACTCCAACTAAACATCGTGAAGAAAAGGGCTCCCTCGGGAGGTGGCGGACTCTCCTTCCTCAGGAGCTTATAAGCAAAGGTTGCCTCTGTCTTGGGTGCTTTAATTGATACAGTGGTACCTCGGATTACATATGCTTCAGGTTACATACGCTTCAGGTTACAGACTCTGCTAACCCAGAAATAGTACCTCGGGTTAAGAACTTTGCTTCAGGATGAGAACAGAAATCATGCTCCGGCAGCGTGGCAGCAGCAGGAGGCCCCATTAGCTAAAGTGGTGCTTCAGGTTAAGAACAGTTTCAGGTTAAGAACAGACCTCCAGAACGAATTAAGTTCTTAACCTGAAGTACCACTGTATTCCTCCCTCAGGGTCTCTTCCAGCTCTATAATTCCCTGATTCTCTGATTCTTAGGTCTGATGATTTCGGTGGGGAAACCAAGCACAACTAAGTTGGCAATCACCTTACACGTTTGTTGTTATGTAACTTTTATTACGTAAAGCTTTCAGTGGGGGGACACAGAACAGCGAAGTTTAGAAAAAAGTTTGATTGCGAGTGGGATGGTGAGTGGGAACTCCTGACGGTGTCCGGGTGACGGATCATAGCAAGACTACATATCCTCTTAAACGAATGAACAGCTCAGGCAAGTGGGTTCCAAAGCAGTTGAACAGCAGCAGAAAGCCGCCCCCACCTCAGATCCCGAGGAGATTCGAAATATTTACCTCAGAAGCGCACGCAAGTTCTCTCTAATGCAGAAACCACCTTTGAAATGGCAGATGCTGGAAAGTAGGGATTGATATTTTCAGGCCAGGGGGCACATTTTGTATTTTGAGGATGAGTCGTGGGTGCCGGTCACAAAATGGCTGTCATCAGGGGGCATGACATCGCACAAATTGGATGATGATAGCATTCATCGGGGGGGGGGGGCAGCTGGATAAACGGCAACCCCCAGATTCCCAGGTATCTTTTTTTTTAAAAAAAAGATTGAATTTAGTTTACAGTCGTACCTCAGAAGTCGAACACCTTGCGAGTCAAACGTTTTGGCTCCTGAACACCGCAAACCCGGAAGTGAGTGTTCCAGTTTGTGAAAGTTCTTTTGAACCCGAAAGTCTGGTATGGCTTCTGCGGCTTCCGATTGTCTGCAGGAGCTTCCTGCAGCCAATCGGAAGCCGCACCTTGGTTTCCGAACTTTTTGGAAGTCGAACAGACTTCCAGAATGGAAGAGCCAGTGTGGTGTAGTGGTTAAGAGCGGTAGACTCGTAATCTGGTGAACCGGGTTCGCTTCCCCGCTCCTCCACATGCAGCTGCTGGGTGACCTTGGGCCAGTCACATTTCTCCGAAGTCTCTCAGCCCCACTCACCTCACAGAGTGTTTGTTGTGGGGGAGGAAGGAAAAGGAGGATGTTAGCCACTTTGAGACTCCCTAGGGTATAAAGCAGGGTATCAAATCCAAAGTCGTCGTCTTCTTCTTCTTCTTCTGAGGTACTACTGTATAACCTTGGTAGAACCTGAAATGTGAAAGGGGAAATCTACAGACACTATTCTCAGTTTTTGGGTGAGAGAAATTAGCCTTCTTCCTGCAGATGCCTAGGGACAGGATTGCAGAATGATGCAGGTTCGGCCTCACCCCACCCATTGTCTCCTCCAACAATGGGCAGAAAGGCACCCACACCAGCCATTGCCGCAGTCATTCACAGAAAAAACCTCTGTGCCTCTCCCCTCCTCTCTTCAGAATAGAAGGCAGGCTGGCTATCCAATCTAGGTACAGTGGTACCTCGGGTTACATACGCTTCAGGTTACATAAGCTTCAGGTTACAGACTCCGCTAATCCAGAAATATTATCTTGGATGAGAACAGAAATCATGTGGTGGCAGCAGGAGGCCCCATTAGCTAAAGTGGTGCTTCGGGTTAAGAACAGTTTCAGGTTAAGAACAGACCTCCAGAACGAATTAAGTTCTTAACCCGAGGTACCACTGTATCTCAAGATATATGGGTATGTTTAAGGTGACAGGCACAATGTAGGCGAGGCTGGAGCAGCACAAACAGGAACAGAGCAGAAAACACAAATAGCCTCTTCAGTCTGCAAATCAAACTCCTTCTCTTCCCTCCAGAATCAATTCCTCTCCTCTGTCACTGCCCTTTCCCTACTTTTTGGTGATACTTGCAAAAAATGTTGCAGTCAGAATAAATTATGCAGATCAACATTGCGGGGGGGGGGGGTTAGTTTCACATGCCTCATGCAATTTATGGTGGCAAACTTGTGGGTGTGGCCAAATGTTTGTGAAGTTTGCAAAAGGCCAAACATTGTTGTGAGGCTGAATTCTTCAGCTCAAGACTTTTTCTTTAAAAAAAACAAAAAACAAAAACATGCCTCCATCCCTTCTGTATTCTGAGGTTAATCTTTGGGATTCCTTGGTACGGCGATCAGACATGTCAGAAAATGAAATGAAGCAGGGGAAACCATTCAGAGAAAAGCCGGTAAAATAAAATAATCTGGCCTTAGTGAGTGTGGTGGTTAAAATAACCCCCTTCCTCCACCATTGCTGTTTTGAGGTCTGGAAGAAGAGCTGGTTGTGGAAGGTGTGCAGAGGATGGCGGCCAAGATGACCCAGGGTCTGGAAACCAAGCCTGATGAGGAATGGTTGAAGGAGCTGGGTATGTTTAGCCTGGAAAAGAGGAGACTGAGGGGAGATAGGAGAGCCATCTTCAAATATCTCAAGGGCTGTCACATGGAAGAGGGAACAAGCTAGTTCTCTCCGGCTCCGGAGGGAAGGATCTGAACCAATGGATTCAAGTTACGAGAAAGGAGATTCCGACTAAACATCAGGAAGAACTTTCTGACAGTGAGAGCTGTTTGACAGTGAAATGGACTCCCTAAGGACTCTTCTTCCTTGGAGGTTTTTAAGAATACATTGCAGGACCACCTGCCATGGATGGTTCAGTTGAGATTCCTGCATTGCAAGGAGCTGAACTAGATGATCCTCAGAATTCCTTCCAACTCTTCAATTTTACAATTTTATGTTGGTCTTCCATAGCGTAAATTATCCCAGAAAACACCTCCAAGGAAACAAACATGATCTGTGCGTGCCCTGTGATTAATATGTATGATTACTTGTGGAAGGGAATGAAGCCAGGCCTGGAGGAGAAAGAAAAGGATCCTTCTTTGGTATAATAATGTGGGATCATAAAATCACAGAATTTTAGAGTTGGAAGGTACCCTGAGTGCCATCTAGTCCAACCCCCGGCAATGCAGGAATCTCAACACGTGGTCCCCCATCTAATTTGAAACCTATTCCAGCTCCTGCTTAATTTTGCAAATGCGCTAGCGGTTTTATTCCTGCACCACTAGAAGGACGCATTATTACTATTGCTATTAATGTGTTTGGGTCCCCCCCCCCCCAAGCTGCACAGTTCTACAGTTTTCAACCTTGGCTTCTTCCACAGTGGCCTCGATTTCAGTAATGAAAGTCATGGATTTCTCCCCAATTTGAGCCCTGATGAAAAAAGCAGGCAGCTTCTAGCAAACGGGAGGCCGAGCTGTTTTTTCAATGAGCCCCTTCTGCATTGTTTTCGGCTGCCATGTTTCCAAACACTTTGTTCTCTCAAAAACCCAGAACTGCCGACTCTTCAAGCGTCTGTTAGAACGTTCAGCCAATCCAAGGGTCGGGGAGAGATGGGACGCATTTTGTGCTTGGAGGGGAAACTACCCAATTTGCATGAGGGTGCTGTGCTCATTCTGATTTGCTTGTGAAGTGCTCATATGTTTCCCTGTTAATTGACTATCCATCTGACACTTTTCAGTGCATTTCCCCACTATTTTCCTAACGAGGGCAAGAGATCCCTTTAACCCAATTTGATTGTGCTGACTTATTTGGGGGATGCCCTCCTGTAAAACAGTGACTTGTAAAATAGTGACTGTCCGAAGGCACACTTACAGATATGACAACTCAGCAGAAAGAGCCATTGGGTTCAGTGGAACTTGCTCCCAGGTAAGTGAGTACAGTGGTACCTCGGGTTACATACGCTTCAGGTTACAGATTTCAGGTTACAGACTCCCAGAAATAGTGCTTCAGGTTAAGAACTTTGCTTCAGGATGAGAACAGAAATCGTGCTTTGGCGGCGCGGCGGCAGCAGGAGGCCCCATTAAAAGTGGTGCTTCAGGTTAAGAACAGCTTCAGGTTAAGAACGGACCTCCAGAACGAATTAAGTACTTAACCCGAGGTACCACTGTATAGGATTGCAGGCTAACTGTATTTTATTTTCCTGGAAGCTGTTGGCTAGGATATTTGTTTTAGTTGCTGGAGTTGTTCAAATGGATTTTGTTTGAGTGCCGTTGAATTGCTTTGCATTTTTATTGTTTTATTTTTCTGGTTGGGAGCAACTTTGCTTCTGTTTTTGATAAAAAGGCGGAATGAGAGGCATTTTACATACAGTCGTACCTTGGCTCCCAAATGCCTTGGGAGTCTAACGTTCCGGCTCCCAAACGATTGAAAATCGGAAGTGATTTTTCCAGCTTTCAAATGTTCTTTAGGAAGCTGGACGTCCGACGGGGCTTCTGTGGCTTCTGATTGGCTGCAGGACCTTCCTGCAGACAAGCAGAAGCCGCACTTTGGTTTCCGAACATTTCGGGAGTTGAATGGACTTCCGAAATGGATTCTGTTCGACCTCCAAGGTACGACTGTGTGTGTGTGTTTATACATATATATATTCTATGTTTTCTTCAAAAACACACAGAGAAATTTCCAAAGCACCAACAACAGTTAAAGAACAAACAGGTAAGAGCTAGACAACAAGTTTGTTTGTTTTTAAGCAAGCAAATGAAAGTTCAATGAAAGAGAGATAAGACCAGCCATAAAACAATCAGCAGCAATAAAAGAACAAATATGATCCACTGAAAGCCCAAAGGATAAAATTGTCATCACCTGGCACCTAATAAAGTAGATTGTTAAGCATATTAGTCACCTTTCTGAAGAAAACTTGTACTTACAACACAAGGTGACTTACGACATAAGAAGCACATGAACACTGTGCTGGGAGGGAATCCCACACTAAAATAGTTTAAATCGTGAATAAGCCTGAACAGTAGCAGCAATTAAAAACCATGCAAACAAATCATCCAGAAAGTTTTGAAGTAGGCTGTGGTTATTATTCATTGCCAAAGGGGGAACACTTAGAACGTTCTCAAGGGCATTGCTGTCTTTTTTTTCTTTTCCAAGGCAAAATTGGCTCTTCCGAGTGACCATGTCCACTGGGCTCCTCTGGCAGAAGCTGTTCCACCAGGATGTAGTGAGGGAGAATTGGGAGAAGCAGGGCCACTCCATCCACTCTGCTGAGAGATCAGCTGCCACTGGTTTTATCTCTCTCTCACCCATTTCCGTTCTAACTGATCCCGGAATTACCATGCAATCCGTGCCTTGGTTTGCTTGTTTCCTCTTCCCTCCTCACCCCTATTTCTTTGTGTGTTATGTCTTCTATAACACATCAATCTTGTGTAAGCTGCTCTGGGAGCTTTTTTGGCTGAAGAACAGGGTAAAATCATTTGAAAAAGTAAAATTAGGAATGCCAACAGTTGTCCTGTTGCCAGAAGGCCCACATATCAGACAGGGTGGGGAAGCTGACAGCTTTCCCTTTCACCACTGAGTTTTCTATGATAAAAATATGATTGGATCCCACCATTGCACTCCCTCTGGCTCAGAGGTGGTCAGACTTCAGGTTTGTGGGTTATATTTTGTTCCTCACTGGACCTGCCAACTAAGGGAGGCTCAGGGTGGTACAGTCCAAATATTGGACAGAACACTGCTTCTTCCTTGGGCGGGCGGGCGTCAACCAGATCTCCTCACGTATCTGTAAACCTGCACCCATGAACCCATATTTCCTGGGTATGCTCACCATGCATTACTTTGGGGATCCTTTCTGGAGACAATTCTGTGGCACGGACATTGTTGAAATGGCAACAATGAGGGTCACCCATTGAAATGAATGGATGTAAGTAACCTAGGCCCTTTAATGTTAATGGGTCCATCTACGCAATACAGTGGTACCTCGGGTTACATACGCT